GCAAAGTTCTCTCTCCAGATTTAATTCTATCACCAATTTTTTCATGTTGTCTAGCTGTCTTTCCAATTCTGCCCACTCCACTAGGGCTTGTTGAGACTCATGATTTTTTTTTTTTTTCAATCTGGTCGTGGGTCTGAACTCTGGGCCTGGGCGCTGTCCCTCAGCTCTTCAGCTCAAGGCTAGCACTCTACTACTTGAGCCACAGCGCCACTTCCGGCTTTTTCTGCTTATGTGGTGCTGCAGAATCAAACCCAGGGCCTCATGCATGCAAGGCAAGTGCTCTACCACTGAGCCACCTTCCCAGCCTCAAGAGACTCATGATTTTTATCTTCATGTCAGCCTTCTGTGTCAGGAGCACTTCCAGCCTCTCCTGCAGCTCGGTGTCCTCATCCTCTAGGTTTTCATAGCTTCTGGCCTTTTCCTGGAGCTGCAGCTTCACGTGATTCAGAGCTTTAATCAGCTCTAGATTGCTGTTCTCAGTCTCATTCTGTGTGGTGGAGACTTCAGACAAAGTCATCTCTAGCTCTTCAATGCACTATTGTGCAGCCTGCAGGTGGCTGGTAAGACCCTTCTGCTCCAGTGCTCTTTCGTCAGCCACCTGCTGCATGTGGGCCAGGACAGATTGTAAGTCAGATTTTTCTGAAATCATCATCTGTATTGATAGCTTGTTCTACTCCAGCTTTGCTTTCAGTGCTTCGTGCACACAGGCCATCTTCTCATTCTCTTTCCCCTGTTGATCCTGCAGTTCATTGTTTTCCTGCTTCAGTTGTTGGATCTCACTGCAGAGCTGCTGGTTTTGTATTCTGCTGGAGTCCAGGGCAAGCACCAGGTGTTGGTAGTGCCTTTCCCTGTCTTCGGTATTATTGAGACCTGTGACGCTTTTGACCCTGGCAGCTCTGACTGTTCCCAAAGGTGGGGAAGGCTCAGGGTCACTGTGGTCCTTGGCTGAACCCTCCACTGAATTACAGTCCCCAGTGGTGTTTGTCTTGGGGTTATCTCCTTTTTTCTTCTTGTTCTTGGATTCTGCAGGTCTACCAGGACTATTCCTCTGCTGGTCTTCTTGAAGTATTTTCCTTCCTGCAGCTAATTTTTTTTTTTTGTCTTGTTTGCTTAGACATCCCAGCACTGAGAGGGTGAAGGTGGGAGGGCCACATTTCCAGGTTCTCTGAAACTACTTCTATTTACCAATAACTATGTCTACCTCCAACTATATCTCCAAATCACCTTGATTCTCTCACCACTGAGCACCTCTACCTCCCTCAATAGCTGGTAGTGGTGTGAGCCAACAGAAGGAATACCAGTGCTACTAGGTAACATGAAATATAGCATGTCCCAATTCTTGAATCCCATTGGTCAGAGAGAAACATAAAAAAATAGGGGATGTGGCCAGAATCTTGTGATCCAGGCAGAATGGGAGGAGTTATGATGAGAGCTGCTCCGGAAGCCCCTCCTCCATACAACCCTGTGCAGAATGGTTGGGGGCAGGACGGAACCTGCTCTTGATTGAATGGGTACACTCTTTGCAAGTCAACCTTCCTGGCCTCCCTCACAAAACCGTGGTCACCAGACTTTTCACCAGGCTTCCCACTGGCCTTCAGGAAGTGACACCAAGAAACGCAGCTATCTGCCCATGTCTGTTGTCTTCAGATCTACACTCCATGCAGAATTAGCTCTGTTGTTCTGACCATATTAGCTGAGACTTGTATTCTGATCAGGGAGCCACTGAGGTTCATGATGGCCTTGATATACCCTGCTCTTCCAGTGGCTCTGGTACTGGAGGGGTCAGGGACATCATGGGTCCAGAGCTCCTCTCCATGAGTATCAGCCATGCTGCACACTTAGGCCATGCATAGCACAGCACATGTTCCACACACTTTGACTGGTGATCTCAGAGGGTTCAGAAATACAATCATGGGAGGAATGAGAATGTCTGAGATTCCTGTGCTGCTGCTGGCCAAGAGTATGTGAAATCACACCAGCACAGAACAATAACCTACAGATGGTTGAAAGTAACTATTAGCCAAGCAATCAGCTAACCAGCCACATCCAAATGATGTTTAGAATCCAGGTTCTGGGGCCACCCTCTACCACTCCAGAGCCCTTAGACAGCCAGTCATGAGGACATGATTGATGAGTTCATTGTGTATGGCCAGTTTTTCCTTCCAGAAGAATTTGTGCAGGTTGTGGTGGTACACACCTGAAATTCTCTCTGCTCAAGTCATGTCTTTGGATTAAGGCCTTGTCTCCAGGGGGCCACTCGAAATGAGTGTTACTGAGGTGGCTGTGACTCCTCAGTCCCTCAACTAAGGGCAGCCAGTCCCAAGTGCCAACCACATTGACCAGCTTATACTGAATTGCAAAAGACAAAAAGCATTGTGGCTGGGCGCTGGTGGCTCACGCCTGTAATCCCAGCTACTCAGGAGCCTGAGATCTGAGAATCACGGTTCAATGCCAACCCCGTCAGGAAAGTCCGTGGCTACCTTGGGTCCCACAGGTTCTCCCTGACTCCCTCTGCAGCTTCATTTCTCCCATTGTGTTGGCTTTCTGGGTTTCAGCCACTTTGGCCTCCTCACCATTTCTCAGACATCAGTTCCTTCTAGCTCAGAGCCTAGCCATGTGTCTTCTCCACCTCAGCTGTTTCTTCCTCAGATACTGTAGACTAGTTCTCCTTCTTCCTTCAGAGCCTTCTCACATATCACTTTATACGAATCTTTTTCATGTACTCATCCTGAACTAGCACTTGCAGCCACCTTTTACTGCTCTTTTCAGTATTTTACTTGTGGCATGTGCTGCAGTTGGAGCTGGGGGTTTAGCTCAGCGGAAGAGCACCTGCTTGGCAAGCACAAGGCCCTGAGTTTGGTCCTCAGCTCTGGAAAAAAAAAAAAAAAACCAAAAAAAAACAAAAAAAAAACAACAACCCAAAGCAACTGAAATCAAAGCCTTGCACTCTACCACTTGAAATTCTCTTTCCCTACTTCTTAAACTTCTTTTTCATTTTTGTGCTTATACTGGGGCTTGAACTCTTGAGGTTTTTTGCTCCTAGCTGAGATCCCTCCACTTGAGCCACTCCCATACTTTCAGCTCTTTGCTGGTTAGTTGGAGACAATTGTCTGAGCTGGCTCCAAACCTCAGATCTTAACCTGAATAGTTTGGATTAGCCACCAGTGACTGGCTGCCCCAATTTCTTTCTTTTTTTCTTTGGTTGGTTGTGGGGCTCGAACTCAGGGTTTGGGTGCTGTCTATGAGCTCTTTCACTCAACACTAGCATTCTACCATTTTGAGCCACAGCGTCACTTCTAGTTTTTCTGGTGGAGAGAAGGGTCTCACAAACTTTCCTGCCCAGGCTGGCATTGAACCGTGATCCTGATCTCAGCCTCCTGAGTAGGTAGGATTGCACATGTGAGCCACTGGCGCCCAGCCCCATTTCTTTATAACATTATTTTCACTATGGTACATGCCTGTAAGCCCAGTACTCAGGATTCTGAGACAGAAAAAATCATTAGTTTAAGGCCATCTTGTATGTCAGGAACAAAAACAAAACTGGGTGCTGGGGGTTCATTCTATAACCCTAACTTTGGGAAGATGAAATCAGGAAGAATGCCATTTTAGTCCAGCCCACCATATATGCATAATTCCAGTAGTTGGACATAGTAGACAAGTCTGTCATCCTTGGCTAAAATTGAGAGGATCAGGTTCTAGGCCAGCTCAGAAAGAAAATGCCTTGTGGCTTCATCTCAACAGATGAAGCTAGACAAAGGGACATATCCCAGTCATCCCAGCTATGGTGAAAAGTTAAAAAACAGAAGGATGGGTGTTCAGACAGGAAGTGAGGCCCTATATTAAAAAATAATCATTGTGAAAAAGACTGGAGGTACGGCTCAGCAGTATAGTGCCCGCCTAACAAGCACAAGGTCCTGAGTTTAAGAACACTTAAAAACAAAAAAAGGCTGGGCGCCAGTGGCTCATGCCTGTAATCCCAGCTACTCAGTAGACTGAGATCTGAGGATTGCAGGAACTTCCTTAAGACTCTTTGTTGTTGTTGTTGTTGATCATGGGGCTTGAACTCTGGGCCTGAGCTCTGTCCCTCAGCTCTTCAGCTCAAGGCAAGCGCTCTACCACTTGAGCCACAGTGCCACTTTTAGTTTTCTAAGGTGGTTTATTGGAGATAAGAGTCTCACGGAGTTTCCTGCCTGGGCTGGCTTTGAACTGTGATTCTCAGATCTCAGCCTCCTGAATAGCTAGGATTACAGGCATGAGCCACCAGCACCTGACTAATAATCTGTTCTGTTCTATCACCTATTGACTTTCTGATTTTATTTTTATTTTTTTTTGTTGGTCATGGGGCTTGAACTCTGGGCCTGGGAGCTGTCCCTCAGCTCTTCAGCTCAAGGCTAGCGCTCTACCACTAAAGCCACAGCGCCACTTCCCTTGAGACTCTTATCTCCAATAAGCCACCAGAAAACCAGAAGTGGCTCTGTGGCTCAAGTGGTAGAGCACTAGCCTTGAGCTGAAGAACTGAGGTACAGGGCCCAGGCCCAGAATTCAAGCCCATGACCAACCAAAAACAAAAAAAAATTGTCTAAATTTGTGTTGTATGTTTATTTCTTCTATGTTCATTGAACATCTCTTTTTCCCAAAGCTGGGCCTTTGTTTCATTTTCTAAAACCTACAACAGTGTCTGAAGTCTGGTTTATGGAGTGAACAAATCCTGCTCAGAGATAGTTATTGTTGTTATGTATTTTCTTAATGTTTCTTTTTAAATTTTCTTGTTATTGGTATAGCACATATTTGTGTTTATTTAAAATTAAAGTAGCACCACATAATTTTATGGCTGGCTTTTTTCACTTAAATTTATGAGAATTTTCCAAAGCTAGCATTCTTCAGAATCAAAAGTTACTGTTTCTCAACTAAAATACAGACTCTATAAATAGTCTGCCTCCTAATAACTTGAAAAAAAAATGATTTGTTTTCAGTGAATTACTTTTATGCTGTCTCTCCAGGAGGACATACACTGCATCTCTGGGAGAAACAGCAGTTGCATTTGACTTTGGACCATTGGCAGCCGTCCCAAAGCATATATTTGGACAGAAAGGCAAAGACGAAGTAGTAGCATACCCTCTGTACATCTTATACGAGAACGGAGAGACGTTCCTCACACACGTTAGTCTGTTACACAGGTAAGTGGAGGTAGTAATCCTCCTAAACAAAAACTCAACTGCACTCCATGTATATGGTCAGGGCGAGACTTGGGATCCACATTTCTGGGTTTCTGCAAGTATCCTTAGAGGCTTGCTTTTCACCGCTTAGAAAAAGCATTAGCATTGATGATTTGAAGTTTCATTTCTCTACATTATTTGGGTGAGTTCTGTTGTTTTAAGATAAGACCAGTTATTTATTTATTTATTTATTTTTTGGCCAGACCAGGGGCTTGAACTCAGGGCCTGGGGCTTCTTTTGCTCCAGACTAGCACTATACCACTTGAGCCACTGCACTACTTTCAGCTTCCAGCTTTATCTGTGTGTGTGGTACTGAGGAATTGAACGCAGGGCTTCATGCATGCTAAACAAGCACTTTACCACTAAGCCACATTCCTAGCCCAAGACCAATTTTTTTTTTTTTTTGGTCCATCATCGGGCCTGAATTCTGGGCCTGGGCGCTGTTCCTGAACAACTCAGCTCAAGGCTAGTACTCTACCACAGTGCTTGAGCCACAGCACCACTTCCAGCTTTTTCTGTTTATGTGGTGCTAAGGAATTAAACCCAGGGCCTCATCCATGCAAGGCAATCATTCTACCACTGAGCCACCTTCCCAGCCCATTCCCACCCCCCACCCCCCCAAGACAAAAATTTTTTTTTTGGTCGGTCATGGGGCATGAGCCACCGGTGCCCAGCATGAGACCAAATTTTATATTGTTTTGTTTTCAAAGATAACAGATATCCTGTATTACCATTTTTCAGCATTTAATCTATCATTTCCTGTGACATTCTGAGCCCCTCTTACTGTGCTGTATAGTTATTCCTTTAGTTGTATGTCTTTCTTACTGATGAGGAACTACATATAGCAGAAACATAGGCTCTAAATAACTATCTGTTGTGATGATTTTTAAGTGAATAATTCCTGTCATTCAGCCTTTAGCCGTATGCATGTTCTGCCAATTGTTATTTTCTTGTGGAAATTGAGCCCAGGACCTTCAGCATACCAAGCAAGGGCTCTATGACTCACCTATATCTTTTGTCTTTTTTGGTACTGGTACTGGAGCTTGAACTCAGGGCCTCATACTCTCTCACATGGCTTTTTTTTGCTCATGGCTGGTGCTGCTCCACCACTTGAGCTTCAGTACCATAGTAAAAGGGCAGAGCAGGCTGAGTAGGAAATGGTCACTCTAATCTCAGCACTTTGGAGATGAGATAAGACAATCACACGCTAGAGGCTCCATAATAAGATCGTCTTTTTTTTTTTTTTTTCAAATCACTGCTATGCACCAATAGCTTACAGCTGTAATCCTCACTACTCAGAAGGTCAAGTTAACAACTAAAAAGCCAAGAGTGAAGCTGCAGCTCAAGTGGTAGAGCACTAGCCTTGAGCAAAAAGCTCAGGGACAGAACCCAGGCCCTGAGTTCAAGCTCCAGAACTGGCACCAAAAAATATAAAATAAAACACAACAAGTACAGAAAATTTAGCTGAGGCTTTCATCCTCTGCACTATACTATTGACATGTGGTTTGATTGTCCTTTCTCATAGAGGAATGTTTAGCAGCATCTCTGGCATGTACTTAATAGATGCTGGTCACTACCTCTTCTCTAGTAGTGACAAGCATGAATGTCCTAGTGTCTCCTCAAGCGCAAATTTATCTCTGGTTGAAAACTACTAGTTTTGGGATCTGAGTGGGAAAGCAATTAAATATAGACATTGGGAATATACTATTTTTCTAATGGCAGCCTGGTAGCTGGAAGAAGACCAAGTCAAAGAATGGTTAGAGGTCATGGTAATCTTCTGTCAACACTTTCCAAGTGTGATTTCTTTCCTTTTTTTTTTTTATTATTGTGAAAATACTGTACAGAGGGGTTACAATTACATGGGCAAGATAATGAGTTCATTTCTTACCAAGCATTAGCCTCCTCCTTTGTTTCCCCTGTGATTTCTTTCCTTAGCCCTGGAAATATTGGAAAGTTATTGGGTCCATTGCCAATGCATCCTGCAGCTGAAGATAACTACGGTTATGATGCTTGTGCTATACTCTGCTTACCCTGTGTCCCCAACATATTAGTGATTGCAACTGAATCAGGAATGCTGTATCACTGCGTGGTGCTAGAGGGGGAGGAAGAAGACGACCAAACAGTAAGTTCCAGGCTAGTGTTGGTGTTTCATGTCTTTATTCCAAGTGTAGTTTTTAGAGCACCATAGAAGGAATTTTATCTTACATCTATTTGGCACTTAATATAAATTAAACACTTAAAAGTAATTGGAAGCCAACCACCAGTGGCTTTATGCCTCTAATCCTAGCTACTCAAGAGGCTGAGATTTGAGGATTGCAGTTTGGTGTTATTTTTTTTAATGGTCAGTTGTGGGTATTGGTATACACACACACACACACACATTTATTAACATAATTGGTATATGCACACACACATTTATTAACATAATCCTAATGGAAGAGTTTTAACTTATTTTCTTCTTTTAAGAATGATAAAGAGGGAGCCTTGCATTGGTGGCTCAGGTCTATTATCCTAGCTACTCGAGAGGCAGAGATTTGAGGATTGAGGTACTAAGCCAGCCTGGGCAGAAAAGTCCATGACATTCTTATCTCCAATTAACTAAAACTAAAGCTAGAAGTAGAGCTATGGCTCCAGTGGTAAAGCTCTAGCTTTGAGCAGAAAAGCTCAGGGGCAGTGCGCTGGCCCTGAGTTCAAGCCATAGGATCAGCGTAAAAAGTAAAAACTAACAATCTGGGTGTGGCGGTGCCCCTATAATCCCAGCACTCAGGAGACTGAGGCAGCATGATTTTGAGTTCTAGGCTATATAGTGACACTTTTATTAGAAGGGAAGGGATTCGTTCACTATTAAGATACAGGGTGAAATTAAGAATTTAACAGCACTATTTGACCAGTGATTTGTTTCTATTTTCACCTATACATTTTCAAATGAATATAGGCAGGTTTTTTCCTTATTTGTTTTTGTTTTTTTTTTACAGTCAGAAAAGTCCTGGGATTACAGAGCCGACCTCATTCCATCTCTGTATGTCTTCGAATGTGTTGAGCTGGAGCTTGCCTTGAAGCTGGCATCTGGGGAGGATGAGCCCTATGATTCTGACTTTTCTTGTCCAATCAAACTTCACAGAGGTAAGGTTTTCACAAAAGGTAGTTCTCTCTCACTGCTGTAGTTAAATGAAGACTGTCATAGTTTCTTCCCATGTAGTTTATTCCGCAGTTCCAGCCTTCAGAAGATTCACATGGGTCTCTTGGATATTTAATAAATATATACTCTGTGGAAGGCAAACTTAAGCAAGGTTCTCAGGTTTTCAAATAGTGATCTTCAGTCTAGATTCACCTAGTTGTTCTTTTTTTTTTTTTTTTTTATGTCAATCGTGGGGCCTGAACTAGACCTGGTTACTCCCTCAGCTCTTCAGCTCAAGGCTACCACTTGAGCTTCAGCCCCACTTCCGGCTTTTTCTGCTTATGTGGTGTTAAGGAATCGAACCCAGGGCCTCATGCATGCAAGGCAAGCACTCTACCACTGAGCCACCTTCCCAGCCCCTCACCTAGATGTTTTATAATAAGCTTTTCCTGGTCCTATCATGAGTAGATTTCAAGCTGAAATGGTGGCACACACCGTTAATAACCAGCTACTCCAGAGGTAGAGGCCAGAGGATCATAAGTTCAAAGAGCCTGGGCAAATTTGGTGAGACCTCATCTCAAAAGAGAAGAAGCCGGGCGCCGGTTGCTCACACCTATAATCCTAGCTACTCAAGAGACTGAGATCTGAGGATCAAAGTTCAAAGCCAGCCCAGACAGTAAAATCCATGAGACTTTTATCTCCAATAAACCACTAGAAAACCGGAAGTGGCACTGTGGCTCAAGCAGTAGAGCGCTCGCTTTAGCTGAAGAGCACAGGGACAGCGCCCAGGCCCAGAGTTCAAGCCCCACGACCAAAACAAAAACAAACAAAAAAAAAAAGAGCTGGGAGCATAGTTAAAGTGAGTCCCTGTAACACACACACACAAACACACACACCCTGATTTTACAATTTAAATACATGTATAAAACCTTTAAATTACCTTTAAAAGTAATTTTTAAAATCAAATTTTAACATAGCCCTGTACCACACAACATCCTTGTGGTCAGTAAGAGACTACATACCTGATGCTAATTCCAATGTGTAAAACTCATAAAGATCATCAACTTTTAACTTACGTTAAACCCACAATAAGAAAGTCTGTTAAAAGAAAGTTTTAATTTAGGTAGGTTACTGTTGCTAGCTTATACATTATTTCTATATTTTAGTTTTATGTTTTAAAAATTAAAACCACAAACATAAGTATTATAAGTAGTGATACACATTCAAGAGAACCTGGCAAAGTAGTGTCAGTCTACAGTCCCAACTACTCAGGAGATTGAGGTAGGAAAATCACAAGTTTGAGGCCAGCCTGGGCTACACAGTAAGCCCCTGCCTCAAAATAAATGAATAAATGGAGCAGAGCGAGTACTGGTGGCTCCTACCTAGAATCCTAGCCACTTGGGAGGCTGAGAACAGAAAACCTCAAACTATAGCTAGGCACAGTGTTAGGTACCTGTAATTCCATGCTGTGTGGCAGGCTGAGATTGAGAGGATTAAGATGCCAGGCTGAGCTAGGCAGAGAAGTTCATGAGACTTCATCTCCGCATCGGGGAAGTTGGTGCAGTGGTGTGTACCTGTGATCCCAGCAGTGACAGGCAGCATATAATAAACAGATTTTGCCTCAGGCAGGTTCTCGGGTAGGAAGTGAGACCCTGTCCTAAACATAACCAGTGAAAAGTGGGGCTGTGACACGGCTCAGCAGTATTACTCCAGTCTGAGTTCAGACGGCTAGTACCACCAAGAACATAATTAATTAAAATAGCTATAAGGCTTGGTGTAGTGGCATAGCTATATCCTTAGCCCTTGAGAGACAAAGACAGGAAGGCCACTTTCAAAGCTAGCCTAAGCTACATAGTGAGACCCTGTCTCAAAAACCTGAGGTCTACTGGGCAGACTGGTGGCTCATGCCTATAATCCTAGCTTCTCAGGAGGCTGAGATCTGAAGATCCTGGCTTGAAGCCAGCCAGGGCAGCAAAGTCCATGAGACTCTTACTTCCCACTAGCCACCAAAAAGCCGGAAGTGGAGCTATGGCTCAAGTGGAACAAAAACATTTGCTCAGGGACAGCACCCAGGAGTGCAAGCCCAAAGATACACACACACACACCCCACACACCCCACATAGGACAAAACTGAAGTCTAAAGTGGTCAAACACTTATCATGCATAAGGCCCTGGGTTTGATCCCTAACACTTTAAGCTCTGCATTCCCCCCATCCTGAATTTGTCTTTTACTCTCAGGACTATCGTAGTGATATTAAGGCTTTAAAAGTACAGAAATATGAGCTGGGTGCCAGTGGCTCACACCTGTAATCCTAGCTACTCAGGAGGCTAAGATCTGAGGATCACAGTTCAAAGCCAGCCCAGGCAGAAAAGTCCGTGAGACTCTTATCTCCAATAAACCACTAGAAAACCAGAAGTGGCGCTGTGGCTCAAGCAGTAGAGCGCTCACCTTGAGCTGAAAAGCTGAGGGACAGCGCCCAGGCCCAGAGTTCAAGCCCCACAACCGACACACACACACACACAAAAGTGCAGAAATATTTGTTTCAGAGTCTTATTAATTAAAATTATGTACAAGTGTTAACATTTCTTAAGATAAATATAAGTGATGATCAAACAGAAGGAATCTAAAACTGAAACTAACCTTTAGAACTCTCTGCAAGTCAGCACTGTGAAGGCATGCAGCACCTGACCATGACAGATGACAGATGACAGAGCAGCTCGCTGAGCAGTTGGGCAGAAGTCTTTTCAATACCTGTGCTGGAGTGTGTTCATTATACTTTTTAAAAAGGTGCTTAAAATATATTTGAAAAATTGAATTCAAATTAAAAACAAGGCCTCCAACATAACACACCAGGATAAAAATCCTCCAGACTTTCTCTCATGTCCATCCACAGAGGCATTTGTAGGCTCCTGGGTAAATTCTTTGCATCTCCTAATTGCTGTCTTATATGTCATTCATCATTCCGTCTGCAGACCCCAAGTGTCCTTCACGATACCACTGCACTCATGAGGCTGGCGTCCACAGTGTGGGGCTAACTTGGATTCACAAACTTCACAAGTTCCTTGGATCAGGTGAGTGTACTAACTTGTATTTGTCTGTAGTTTTCAAGATTCCATCCAAAAGTAGTTTGAAAAAGGAAAATAAGAGGAAATTTATAAAAGCAAAACTTGATTCTCTGGACTTTTTTTCTTGTAAAGTGTGTGTGTGTGTGTGTGTGTGTGTGTGTGCATGTGTGTGTGTGCGTGCATGTGTGTGTGTGTGTGTGTGTGCATGTGTGTGTGTGTGTGTGTGTGTGTGTGTGTGTGTGTGGTGTTGCTCTACCACTGAGCCACAGCTCCACATGCAGCTTTTTGATGGTTAATAGGAGATAAGAGTCTCACAGACTTTGCTGTGGAGGCTGGCTTAAAAGTGCAATCCTCAGATCTCAGCCTCCTGTGTAGGACTATAGGAGTGAGTTACCAGTGCCTCCTGGCCTCTTGTACTTTTTTTTTTTTTTGGTCAGTCATGAGGCCTGAACTCTGGGCCTGGGCGCTGTCCCTCAGCTCTTCAGCTCAAGGCTAGCACTCTACCATTTGAGCCATAGCGCCACTTCCGGTTTTCTGGTGGGTAATTGGAAATAAGAGTCTCATGGACTTTTCCTGCCCGGGCTGATTTGAACTGTGATCCTCAGATCTCAGCCTGCTGACTAGCTAGGATTACTGGTTCTCTTGTACATTTTTAACGGGGTTTATTATGACATTTTCATACATATATATAATGTACCTTGATCATATGCACCTCCCTCACCCTTCATTTTTAGGAAAGAAAGCATTAGTGTTGCTTTATCAGATTGTTTCTTACCTAAAAGATTTTAGAGGCAGAACAGCCTTCTCTAATCCTCTTTCTGACCCTTTGACACATTCGATCTCTATAGCCTGTTTTTCTAATCATGAATCTCTTAAGATTTGGGGAGGGAGGGCAGTATGCTATTGGAACTTGAACTCCAGGCCTGGGCACTACCTTTAGCTTTTTTACTCAAGGCTGGTACCCTACCACTTGAGCCACACCTCCACTTCTAGCTCTTTACTAGTTAATTGGAGACGAGAGTCTGTATCTACCCAGACTGGCTTTGAACCAGGATCATCAAATCTTGCCTGTTGATTCTGAACATGAGCCATTGATGATGCCCAGCTCTTGAGAATTTTTTTGACTTCCATACAGCCTTGAGAATTTCCCAAACCATCAAGTCTTCGTTCTTGTTCACAGTTCATCTCTGAATTGTATCAACTTCCTTGTATTTTAGTAAGAATTATGGCCACATCTTAAAGGCTTTACTTGGTAATATCAAATTTAATGTTTATCTTTCCACACTTCCTTTTAAGAAACATAACAAGGATGTCTCCTCATGCCACTTCTACTTAACATTGTAATGGAGGTTTTACCCAGGAAAATTAGCCAAGAAAAAGAACTAAGAAACAAAACTCTCTTTTTAGATAACATGTATATACACATGCTGGGATAGAGGCTGAAACTGGATAGGGCTTGTGCTTTCACTTGGCTTTTTCACTCACAGTTGGTGCTCTACCACTTGAGCCACACCTCTAGTTAAACATTTTGCTATTAACTTGAATATAGAGTCTCCCAGATTGTCTGTGAACCTCGATCCTTAGATCTCAGCCTCCTAAGTAGCTAGGATTATAAGTATGAGCCACTGCCACCCAGCAACAGGATCTTTTGTATGAAAATCCTGAAGAATTCACAAAACTACAAGTTTGTATGAATACACAAAGAGCAGTTCACTTCTATGTAATCAACAAAAAATACAAAAACTAAGAAAACACAACATTTATACTAGCATCAAAATCATAGGAATGAGATTCTGTTTAACAAAAGTCCAAATGTCTTCAATACTACAAATGCTGAAAGAAAATAAACTTACAAATGGGGAAAAAAATACCATGTTTGTGGAAATGAGGTATCCCAAACCACAGTGTTGGCCTGGCTAAAGTTAGATGAGTAGACAGTAGGTAGTATTGGGGTATGGAAGGATGGGCCCCCACACTCTCTGCCTGTGGGAATGGAAGATAGTGCAGCACTTAGAAAAATAGTCTTGACAGCTCCTGAAAGAGCTGTCATCTGTCTAGCAGTTCCCTGAGTACTCAAGAAAAATAAAAACTTATGTCCACTCAAGTATACAGGTATGTGAGCATTCATAGTAACACTATCCTATTAGCCCACAAGCCAAAAACAACGTCCATGCCAACTAATGAGTAAATAAAAGCTGGAATATCCATTGCTGCAGTGGCATATTATTCACTAAAGAAGAAACGACATACTCATACATGAATCTTGAAAGCACGCTAAGTGAAAGAAATCAGTTATAAGCCAAGGCATGTTACATGATTTTATTTCTCTGAAATGTCCAGAGCAGCAGTTTCCGTTGAGATAGATTAGTGGTTGTCTGGATCTGGGAAAGTTGATAAAAACTTGAATGACTACTAATGGCTCTAGGGATTTCTTTATGCTTAATGTAAGTATTTACAAATGCTTGTGATGATGGTGGTATCGTTATTTTAATATACTTAAAAACCTATTTGGGACAGCACCCAGGCCCTGAGTTCAAGTGCTATGACCTCTTCCCCCTCCTTCCCTCTTCCTTCCGCCCCCCCCCCCACAAAAACCAACTATTGATCTGAGCCAGGCAGTGGTGGTTCACAGCTGTAATCCTAGTTACGCAGGAGACTGAGATCTGAGGATCGTAAATGGTAGAGCTCCAACCCTGGAGAGAATTAACTTAAGATCACAAGGCGTGGAATTCAAGGCACCAACAATTACATACACTTACACACACACACACACACACACACAAAACCAATTGAACATGTACTTGATAAGGTGAGTGGTATATTTTGAGTTATGTTTTTAAAAGTTGTTATTGAAAAATAGCGGGGCTGGGAAGGTGGCTCAGTGGTAGAACGCTTGCCTTGCATGCATGAGGCCCTAGGTTCAATTCCTCAGCACCACATAAGCAGGAAAAAAAAAAAGCTGGAAGTGGCGCAGTGGCTCAAGTGGTAGAGCGCTAGCCTTGAGCTGAAGAGCTGAGAGACAGCGCTCAGGCCCAGAGTTCAGGCCCCACGACCGGATCCAAAAAAAAAAAAGAAAAATAGCAGTGTTATCTGGGCACTGGTGGCTCAAGCCTGTAATCCTAGCTATTTAAGAGACAGATCTGAGGATTTCTGGTTGAATCTAGGTTGGAGAAAAGTCTGTGCAACTCGTCTCCAATTAACTACCAAAAAGCCCGAAATAGAGCAATGGCTCAAGTAGTAGAGTGCTATCCTTGAGCAAAAAAGCTAAGGGACAGTGCTCAGGCTGAGTTCAAGCCCCAGAAACACACACACACGAGTTCAAGCCCCAGAAACACACACACACACACATACACACACACACCAGTGTAGTAAAGGAAAAGATGTGGAAGGAATGATTTTCTCGAGTTGGTCTCCATCTTTTCTGCATTTAGGCATCTTAACAAACTGCTTTCCCTTAATGCAGAAATCTAGCCCTCTGCAGAAAGGACATTTCTGTGACAGAGGGAGGGACACAGTCTTTGAGAAGCAATAGCATTTAACCAATATTTCAGTCTGGTATTTTGCTGAAACACCAGTTAATTTATATAATGTATTCCTTCACAGATGAAGAAGATAAGGATAGTTTGCAAGAACTTGCTACAGAACAGAAATGCTTTGTAGAGCACATCCTTTGTACAAAGCCGTTGCCATGCAGGTAACTCGCCTCTCACTTGTGGGTTCAGTAATTCAGATGCATACATGTACATGATACTTCTCCCCTTCTAGGATCCTGTTTGTCAGGTGTTTACCAAAGGCCTAAAGTCAGGGCCATTCCAAGTATTGTTGCTTCTGTTCCAGCCTCAGTTGATATGTCTTGAAACCAGGGTCTCTCTCTCTGTCAGCATGTGCTCTGTTGGCCTTTACCTGTCTACTTAGCAACACCCAGGTTTCTTGAGATGAATGAGTAGATATGTGGGCTGGGAAGGTGGCTCAGTGGTAGAGTGCTTGCCTTGCATGCATGAGGCCCTGGGTTTGATTCCTCAGCACCACATAAGCACAAAAAGCCAGAAGTGGAGCTATGGCTCAAGTGGTAGAGCGCTAGCCTTGAGCTGAAGAGCTGAGGGACAGCGCCCAGGCCCTGAGTTCAGACCCCACGACCAACAAAAAAATTTAAAAATTAAAAAAAAAAAGTAAATATGATTAAGGATTATGGAGGACATGGAGCTGTGGCTTAAGTGGTAGAGCACCAGCATTGAGGAGAAAGATCTGATTGGGAGAGATAAGAGATAAGGGGCACTTGAAGTTATATTCTTGTAGGATATCTAAGTGGAGGAATCTAGCAGGCAAATGGCTTCTAAGTTTGGAGTCTGGAGGACACAAGAGGTATGGAATTGTTGGTCAGACTACAAAAATAAAAAGTGAAAAAAGCCAGGTGCAAGTGGCTACTCAAGAGGTTGAGATCTGAGGATTGCAATTTGAAGCCAGGCCAGGCAAGATCTTGTTTATGAAACTCATTTCCAATGAGCCACTAAAAAGCCGGAAGTGGGCTGTGGTTCAAGTGTGAACACTAGCCTTGAACAAAAACGCTCAGGGACAGTGTCCAGGTCCTAAGTTCAAGTTTCAGGACTAGTATACATACACACATGCAAACACACACCCATACACACATGCAGTAAATAGGAAACTGTTTCAGAAGGAGGTATAAAGTTTTGCTTTAATTACAAAGTTTGAGCCAGTAGGCATGACTCAAGTGGTAGAGTAACTGCCCAACAAGGTCGACACCAAAAGTTCAAACCCCAGGACTGCCAAAAAGAAAACACGTAGATGGGAAACTGTAAAGCAAGGCAAAGGCATGACAGTCAGACCCGGGCTTACTGTCAGGACGGGGGCTGGGACCAGGGTGGTCACCTCCCCCACGAAGCTGAGGTCAGTGTAGCACCCCTCCCACTCCTGGGCCTGATGTCGGTGCAGCATTCCTACTCCTAACCTGGCATGGATCACATAGTATGTGTATGTATACTCTGTATGTGCATGTGGATTCCACATTGATAATACAAAGTAAAATTCTAGACGCTCCTACATTACCCACCCCCTCCAAAAAATGGTGAGACACAGATGGAGAGTAGCCCGGATGACTAATCATCTAATGGACTGCTGTTCTAAAGAAGAGAAAGAAGCATAGGCTAAGGGGAACTGGACATGGAGACATAATGCAGCTTCGTACCGCTGGAGGGAAGGAGCATTTTGAATGAAAAACAGATGAGCTTGTTTATAGGCAGAGAGGAAAGAGACAGTGGGATGGCAGTCTGCAGAAGATAGGAGAGCAACACTGACATTTGGGAACAGAAATGCAGGATGGTCATGGAGGTGGTGTGGGGCCAGTAATGGACACTACTGGAGGCAAAACCAGTACCCATCTGAGGGCCAGTTTGCAGCCTCTCCAATGGACTAGGAAGATGGTGCTGTGCCCACTAGTTGAAGCCCCGTGACAGGGACTGGGCTGCATTGAATGGGGACATGAGTAAACCCTGCAGCTCTGCTCCCTCACATGACTAGACATGACTAGACCCTACATCTGTGCTCTGTCACATGTCTGAGCAGTGACTGGGCACGGAGCTAGGTGGATGGTGATAGGGAAGAAAGACACACGGCATGAACTTGAGTGTAACTCATGGCCAATGCTGTAGGGGACGTGGTTAGGTGACCTCTAGGCTGGTCCGTGGCAGCTTGGTTCAGATTGACCAGAGGAATGTTGGTTTCCAAGTTACCATACTGACAGATGGAGAACCCAGCCTGAAAAGGCTGCAGCTATCTGTCCTGACTTTGCTCATCATTCCATGGTGTCTGCCCCTGCTAACACAAATGGGGTTGATTTTCCAGGCAACCAGCTCCCATCCGAGGATTCTGGATTGTCCCAGACATACTGGGGCCCACGATGATCTGTATCACCAGCAGCTACGAATGCCTCATCCGTCCTCTCTTGTAAGTCCCACTTTCTGCATAGCTTTAATTCTGCAGAATGTAGGCCAGGAGTATGACCTAGGTAACTGGTTTGAAGCTATATGTGTGTGGTTTCCACTTGGACTTGATTTTAGCGTAGGAAGAGGGGATAATTGTTTTCCTACTGTCTCTAGAAGGTTTTACTCTAGAAACAATCAGAGCTTTTCTCTCTGAGCTGCAGAAAAGAATACTAAAACTAAAACTAAATACTGAGCTCCCTTATCAATGTGAATCAGCTTTAATGATTTCTAATCTCAATGTATAAGCTCCTTTCCTGCCTTGCCTCTTGGAAATTATGAAGCCTGCCCCTAAGGAGACTGCTGTCCTTGTATTACAGAAGTAACCATGAACACTGGTCACAGGTCGCAGATGGCTGAGATGCAGGCACAGGCCTGCACTCACTCTGCCAGCCTCCTAGGGACATGAGAGTATGCGAACTGTGAGGAAGGATGGTGTATAGCTGAACCCAGTCCTCATTTCCCTTTAGGAACTCACCATCCACCTTCTCTAACAGTCCAGGAAAGTCATTCTCAGTTTCATAAATGCAGGCATAGGAGCACTAAAATCATGTCACTGGGGCGTCAAACATGAGATCATATTATACTATGTGCTTATATTCGCTGGCATGGGTTCACAGTACTAGCAAGACTATTCTTTGGTTTAAAACATACAAGTTATATGACATTGCCATTGCAGATTGTTTGCAGTTTTGTAAAAACCAAATTATTGTATATGGTAGTTGTTTGGCTTATTGGTTTTGATCAAATCCGGACAATATCTAGAGACCAGTGGTTTGTTTATAGTGTGGGCTTGTAATTGGGCTCTTGAGTCCTTTGCAGAAGTGGTCCAGGATGCATTTATATTGTTCTCCATGATCTTTTCCTAAATAATTAAGGGCTGGAAGCTGGTGGCTCATACCTGTAATCCTAGCTGCTCAGGAGGCAGAGATCTGAAGATTGTGGTTAGAAGCCAGGCTAGGGAGGAAAGTCCATGAGACTCTTATCTCTAAGAGTTTCCAGAAACCCACAAGCAGAGCTCAAGTAGTAGAGCACAGACTTGAGCAAAGGACAAGTGTCCAGTCCCAGAATTCAAGCCCAGTACTGGCACAGACAAAAGAATTAAGTGGCAGAGTCCAAAACACTTTGATAATTGGCAGCATTGGTACAGTAAGCTTTCCAAGGTGACTTTTTCAAGGGAGAAAACATACATTCTTGTACTCTTTCAAAAAAGTAGCCCTATGTCCTCAGAGTTCTTGGAAACTGTGGTTTAACATTCCCTATACTGGGAGGGGGGCAAGGAAGGGGGGGACACAATGGGAAGGGGAAACAAAGGAGGCGGCAACAATGCTTGATAAGAAATGTACTCATTGGGCTGGGAAGGTGGCTCAGTGGTAGAGCGCTTGCCTTGCATGCCTGAGGCCCTGGGTTCAATTCCTCAGCACCACATAAGCCAAAAGAAAAAAGCCGAAGTGGCACTGTGGCTCAAGTGGTAGAGCGCTAGCCTTGAGCTGAAGAGCTGAGGGACAGTGCCCAGGCCCAGAGTTCAGGCCCCACGACTGGACCCCAAAAAAAAAAGAAATGTACTCATTACCTTGCTCATGTAATTGTAACCCCTCTGTATGGGGTTACAATAAAAAAAAAATCCAAAATAAATAAGACTTCCTATACTTCAATAAGTAACTCCATGGCTATGATGTTTTGCAGAAGTACAGTCCACCCAGCCTCTCCGCCTCTGCTTTGTACCCAAGAAGATGCTGAAGTGGCCGAGTCTCCCCTCCGTATTCTGGCTGAAACACCGGATTCCTTTGAAAAGCATATTAGAAGCATTTTACAGCGTAGTGCTGCCAACCCAGCATTTCTGAAGTATGGGCTCTCAGGCATAATAATTTTTAAGAGTGGGTTCTTTCAACATTCCAGTTCATCCTCTTTGTCCTCAGCATGTTCTACTGTGCAGCTGGAGAAGACTGGGGGGCGAGGAGGCGGGGCGGGGGGGGTTGTCTAATAAGCCCAGGGACAAAGTAGCACCTTCAGTAGTGCTCTGAAGAGGGAATTACACTGCTTTGCCTTACATTTTCCAGTTGTTTTGCTTGGCTTGGGAAAGTAACAACAGACTTTGTTTTTAAGATCTTCTGAAAAGGACTTGGCTCCTCCTCTTGAAGAATGTCTTCAGCTCATCAGCAGAGCCACCCAGGTGTTCAGAGAACAGTACATTCTTAAGCAAGACCTGGCAAAGGAGGAGATTCAGCGGAGGTAAGATGTCCTGTGTTCACCAGCCATCAGTTCTGGTGGGTGGCTAGTGCAGTATAATAGTCTTAACTAGCTGGTGTTAACCTTTACTGCCTTTTCTCCTTGAAGAGTCAAGTTATTATGTGACCAAAAAAAGAAGCAACTAGAAGATCTCAATTATTGTCGAGAAGAGAGGTAAGTATCAAAACTTAGGGAGCAGAAAACTATCAGTCCACTGGTTCTCACGGGAGGCTTGCTGTGCCTCATCAGCTGGCTTCGTCAAGCTGGATCCTAAGCATTTCTTACTCCCTATGTCATCAGGAAAAGTCTTCGGGAAATGGCTGAGCGTTTAGCTGACAAATATGAGGAAGCCAAGGAAAAACAGGAAGATATTATGAACAGGTCAGTGGACCTCTAACAGTTCCTTATGCAGGTGTTTACAGTGTCATTAAGAAAACAGAACTTAGCAGGTGCTTGTATTCCTAAATAGAATTGAGTGCTTCCATCCCCCTACCTCTCTTTTAAAGTACATGTCAGAGAAGACATGACATTGTCCCCTAGGCCACCCAATAGGGACTTTACAAAACACCAGATTCCTGGATTGTGAGCTTTTTGTTTGTGAGCGCCTTTCCCCGGATCAGGGGATATCTTAAGCTGAAGTATTGCCTTCTTTTTCTATAGGATGAAAAAGGTACTTCATAGTTTCCATTCTCAACTCCCAGTTCTTTCTGATAGTGAGAGAGACATGAAGAAAGAATTACAGCTTATACCTGATCAACTTCGACATTTGGGCAATGCCATTAAACAGGTATGAAGGGATGCAAGGTGTCTAAAGTCAGGGTTTTGTTTGTTTTTGTCAGTCGTGGGGCCTGAACTCTGAACCTGAACACTGTCCTCAGCTCTTCAGCTCAAGGCGAGTGCTCTACTACTTGAACCACAGCGCCACTTCCTGATTTCTGAGTGGTTTATTGGAGATAAGAGCCTCACAAACTTTCCTGCCAGAGCTGGCTTTAAACTGTGATCCTCAGATCTCAGCCTCCTGAGTAGCTAGGATTATAGATGTGAGCCACCGGCACCCGGCAAATTCAGCCTTTTTTAAAGTGTTTGTATAGAAAAAAATTCATAAATATAAAAAGACCATTCAAATAGGTAACAGGAACCATATCCAACATGTGTTCTTTTTGACACCTAAGGTTACTATGAAAAAAGACTATCAACAACGAAAGATGGAAAAGGTCTTGAGTCCCCAAAAACCCACAATTACTCTCAGTGCCTACCAGCGGAAGTGCATTCAATCCATTCTGAAGGAGGAGTAAGTAATGATTCCCATCAGTTGATACCAAGAGATTTTTCTTTCCTTTCTGGCACTCCAACATCATTCTCTTTCTGCCTACATAAGAATCGTGTCTTGGCATTTGCATGTCAAGTAGTTACTATGACTAGAGTTGTAAGATATACATGAATTTTATAGGTAACCCATGAAGATGAAAGCTTTCCTGTGATAGGACTTCATTGTGTGGTCCAATGAATCTTGCAGCGAATTATGTTCAGAACTATTTCCTGGAGCTAGGAATGATAGCCTGGGTCCAATCAGTCCTTACCACTGCACACACAAACCCAATAGTTGATGCCACTATTTGCTGCCTTAAATGCATGCTATTCACCGAAACATTAAGCTACTCATTTCAGCATAGCCATTCCAGTTACTAGTTTAAATTCTTAAGACCCTAATTAATGGCTCATTTGTTCTTAAGTAATTTTTGATGTTACAGGGGTGAACACATAAGGGAAATGGTGAAGCAAATCAATGATATTCGAAATCATGTAAACTTCTGACATCCCCAAGAAGAGTCACACCTGATGTTAACACAACTGAAGGCTTAAAGTGGTATTATACAACAAAAGGTAGCACTAACTTATAAAAAGGACATTTTGGAAGAACTTGGCTTTGGTTGTTCATCATTTTTAATAAATTTGTCTGAATAAACGCTTGTAATTAAAAATGGGAATGTGTCTTCTAACCAAAGTCTATGACTGCATTCACCAAGGGGGTCCCAGGGTTATTTTTAAAAAGAAAAAGAAAAGGAAAGAGAAAGAGGGAGGGAAGGAGGAAACAAATAGGTTTCAACTGCACTTGTCAGATCTCAGTGACTCCATTGTACCTTCTCCATATTTGAGCAAAAGAAAAGAGCTGTATTTTAAAGTAGCAGCACTAGAAAGAACCCTTAGATTCAAAGGAAAAGGCCACACAATCGACTTGGCAGCAGCTCTTTTAATTTGAACACTTTCTTAAGGGTTCACCTTCCGTACCATCAACAAATGGTTACAGCTGCAGTGTGCTCAGAGCAGAGCTCCAGATCCACAACTGCAGGGCCACTGCTGGCTCACTTCCTCACAGGCACTGTTTACCTTTCAGAGCTAAGTTTGGCTGTGCTCTGTGTCTACTGAGTGCGCGCACAGTGCAAGTTTTAATACCTAAAAGGGAAAAAGAAAATAGCTTGGTATGTAGTATATGAGTGGTTTTGTCCTCAGCTTTAGGTCATCTTTATATGCTTGCCATTATGAGCTCTGAAAGGCAAGACTGCACCTGTGGAGAAATGGCTGTGTGACTGCCAATTAAAAGCCATATGGTAAGGTGTGTTACAGGTAAGAGGTAAGTCAGTTTAGACATGCGAGAACAGGTGTACAGACGGAATATAAGCACAGGAACACTTGAAGCCTAACTGATCTTTTTGATGAACTTTGGTGTTCATAGTGCAGATCCCATTTATGCAAAAAAACACTCAAGTTTACAGAATTGTTTCTTATCTGCATAGTGTCACAGTGTTCTCATCCCAGAAATAGGTTGTTTAAACCTAGAGAGTTTGTTTAGGCTTTCCTCAGTATCATTCTGTTGTGTGGATTTCAAGTTTTCATCGGCCACAGTCTACAGTATTCCATTGGCCCAGTACTCATCTTTCAGAGCAGTGTCTGTAAGACGCTCAGTCTCAACAGGACAGTTTACCTGGATACTTCAGAAAGATTATGAATTACCCATTGTGATTGATAATGCTCATTTTTAATAATCTAAAACAAATTAGTATTGGGCCTATTCATGGGAGTAGTCTTATACCTACATAATTTAATCACATTTTATAATAAAATTCCTTGTAACTATATTTTCCCTTTAAACCAAGTAGTACTTTGTTATACAGAGACTTTAAACCATTAAAATAGTTTCATGCATGGCAAGCTTTTAGCACTATTTCTATAATTGATACTTTTAAATTTATAATCATGAATGTAAGACTATAAAAATAGGCCTTGGGATGAGGTAATATAATCCTTTTCATTTGTTCTATGGAAGAAAACAAGTAAAGGTCTTTAGGGCAAATTCATAATGACTTCATTTGTAACAAAGTTACTTGTAAGTTGATGGTGGCTTTAAGTGAACAAAAATCAGTTCACTAATTCCTATAAGATTTCTTTAGGGACCCACTGTTATGCAGCATAATCATAAACACTTCTTGAACAAACATTTTTTACTTTTGAGCCATCTCTATAATGAATTAAACATTGTAATACAATTAAACATAATAGCTGCGTTGGGACAGCACTGCAACAGTAAGCAGTGAAGTTAGTCCATTCCCCTTGCTTCTGCACTCCATCAAGCTGTGTAGACAGCCTGTCTTGCTCAGGCTTTGTCCACCCAGACAAGGCATCTCACCTCTTGATAAAAGAGGAGATTTACAAACAAATCATATTTTCCTGTTTTCCCCAACTTCATCCTAAGTGCTATCACTTAATACTCCAGATCTAAATTATAGTTTTAAAAAATAGATCTGTCAAACCTCATCACCATTTTGTGACACTTTTGAAACCACATCCATGCCCTTTGATTAAAGCTGAAGATAAGCAGGTTTATAAATGTATTACTAGATGTTGTCAGAGATAGCTTGTTTTAACATTTTTTTCACTGATCCAATAACTAAACTAAAACACTTCAAAATGGAGTAGATGGTGCCATTCAGCTTCACCCTGGTGCCAGCTGGCCCACAAAGATTATCCAGATGTGCAGAAAAAAAGTGCTTCCAAACAGTTTCTTGTGCTTTTCCTTAAACTCCCAATAGATTTGGCCTCTGCCAAGTTTACAAATCCCTTAATTTTGTTCTTGAAGTGGTCTGGTTTGCCATAGTCTTATGGTTCTTAGGCAAGTTTCAGTAGCATTTAAGGTCTTCCGAAGTAAGATAAAATAGTATAAAGAAAATTCACAGGGTGAGGGAAATACAGTCAATAGCCAATGGCCTGCTCTCACTTTGTATTTTAATATAAAATATTCATACAGCACACTATACCTCTGCTAGCTGAACACAGCTACTGATGAGCTCTAGACAACAGAAAAAGAAACTTCTCTCTCCTGGTATCTATAAACAGAAAAGGTCATTCCAAACACTACTGGGAAGTTCCTTTAGGACAGGGAAATGTGTTCCAGAGAGCTATACTGAAGAAAGCAGGTAAGGACACAGCACTTCTTCTATCACCAGAGCTGATCCCATGCCTGTTGGGATCAAGTGCAGAATCCTGTTAGTGTTCCGTTGGAAGTGTGTTGGCTGTTCCTGTGCTGTACAGTTTTCTCCCACTAGAAATGAGCACTTCTCCAGTCCTTTTTTGTTTGTGACTTCTGCTTCATTAAGAGTTAATAATTAATGTTCTAAGGATGAGTTAAAAACCCAAAGTGCAGACTAGAATCCTGCCTCAGGGTGTCATGTCTCAGGAAGCTGGTTAATGTCTGTCAGTTTGGTGTCATTCAGAATTGCCCGGATTCTCTCCAAGGAGTCTGCTTGCCTGATCCGCTCTAACTGCACCTGGAAAAACAATGGGAAGGTTAGTGGGTGTGGCCCCCACATACCTGAGAAGCAGATTAATTCACAGTGCAGTCACTTTGAAGAAGGAAGCAGCAGGAAAAAAATAAGTCTCCAAGGCTGCCTCACTTGCTGGAATTAATGGGATTTGAACAAGACCTCACTCCTCACCCTCAAGAAACCATGGTTCAGGGCTGGGAATGTGGCTTAGTGGTAGAGTGCTTGCCTAGCATGCATGAGGCCCTGGGTTCCATTCCTCAGTACCACATACACAGAAAAGGCCAGAAGTGGCACTGTAGCTCAAATGGTAGAGGTGCTAGCCTTGAGCAAAAGTTCAAGGACAGCGCCCAGGCCCTGAGTTCAAGCCCCAAGACTGGGGGGGAAAAAAGTCACAGTTCAGTTGGGCAGCAACAAGCTGACAAAGTTTAACCACAGTCTACCAAATGTGAGTGGCTATTTCCAGAGCATCACAGGAGTGTGGGAGAGGAAGCCTGTGAGCCCAATGGCATGGAAAGGACACACCTACACTGGGCTTTGAAAGAAAGGGAGTTGAGAAAGGAGACAAGGAATTCTAGAGGGAGTACCACATTTGTAGGCAGACACCCTGGAGCAGTTAAAAAAACCATCTAAAATGCTAGCTAATAGTCTTTAAGGAAAATTGGAAAGGTAGAGAAAGTGGTCAAGTGTTCAGAACAGAGCAGAACTAGGTTTGAAGAACTAGGCAATCATTGGGGGTTGAAGGCAGGGCTGCAAGCCACTAGACCTCTAGTTGGTCCACGTTCAAGAGAGAGGATAGATAAGGTTCTCTTCCTAAGGGCCAGAGCGGTTCCCCAAATGCCTCACCTGAAGTGTTTGAGAAAGCTTTACAAAATCTCTCTGGACCTGTTCGCTGACATCTAATTCTGTCTGTAATCTCTGAGCTTTGTTCTTCTCTTCAAACATTAGTTGTTCAACAGCAACCTAAAAAAACCAAAGTTTTGAGTGAGGATTAATGCTAAAGAGCCTAGAGTTCCTAAAACTAGAGTTCCTAAGTAATTTTAGGAACTTTTAGTTACCAGAAGAGCTGAGTGGCAATACCCACTGATCTCTCCAGGACAAGAGTACAAGTTTTAGGCTGGCACTTCTGGCTAGGCTGCTTTTCTCTAACTCCAGAAATGAAGTGGGTATGAAAGCTAGAATAAGCGATGCTCCTGCAGCAGCCTGTGACTGCTTAATCATAAAAGCACAGCTACTGATCAGTAGCTGTCACAGCAACAGACAGCAACTTGGGGGATTTCCAGTCACGCATCAGTCAGGAAGGTTTTCAGTCAACAGGCCCCAGTGAGGGGGACGTATCTTCTGCCTTCCCATGGGATGTGTGGGAGGGAGCTTTTCTAAAACCCAGCAGCCACTGAACAGCATGAACCTGGCCTTTCTGCACTTGGCTTATGGCAACATCCCCCAAAAGTAAATCGCCACTTTGCTTTTGTTTTTACCGGACTAATCAAAACAGTAGTTCTGGCTCAATGTATTCTTATAATTTGATACATTGGTGAAATGACATTTTATTTTTATATTGTTTGTTGGTAGTGGGGCTTAAACTCAAGGCCTGGGCACTGTTTGAGCTTTTCTGCTCAAAGCTAGGGCTTTCTGAGCCACTTTGAGCCACAGCTCCATTTCCAGAATGACATTAAAGCAGCATTTCTAACTGGGCATTGTCAGTCATGGTGCAATAGCTCTTATTATGACCTAAAGCGAGTGAGGTCTCTAACACAAGCCTCCAGAACCTGTAGAGTTAGAGGTGTAACTCAAATCTAGTAAGACCAATTCATTTTAACTTTGTAAGCTATTAGTCTCTACTAAAAGGTGACACTTCAAAGCAGCAATGTTGGTTTGGTTCTGGTTTTAATAAATAAAATGAAATTCTATATTCTTAGCCTTCCTCTTTATTATCATTGTTCTTAAGTAGTTATACAAAGGGATTTCAATTCAATAAATCAGTTTCCAAGTACAACACACCTTGATCAATGTTACTTCTTCTATTGCCCTCCCCACTTTTGTTTAAAGGATCAAACACAATAAATCACCTTGGCTGCAGCCTCTTTCTTTAACTGTTCTTCCAAATTGACCTTTATCTCCTGAAGACTCTCAAGCTGTTGAGACTTCTCTCTTAATGTGGATTCCAACTGTGAAATTAAAAGGGACAAAGCTGAAAGTCACAGCCTACAGGATACAGCACATGGCTAGCAAAGCCTGCATGCAGCTTGGTGCGTTAGTTCAGACTCAGGCCTCTGAGACCTGACACCTGACTGCTTGGAATACTCACACTTTAATGTGTGGATTCTACTTGTTCTAGACCTGATCTTTCATTCACCATTTATTAAATACCTACTGCATTCTAATCATAAAGCCTGGAGACAGAAACCTGAAGAAACAGACACAAGCAAATACGGCATGTGAACATTTGATTCTGTCAGAGAAGGTGGGAAGTACTGCTGTATAGAGGTAACAATTTTATAGAGGAGGGAAAAAGTAATAAAGAGGAGAAGATGTTTTTTGTTTTTGTTACTGTTAACTTTTTGTGTGTGTCCTGGGGCTTGAACTCAGGGCCTAGCTGCTGTACACGGGCTTTTTGCTCAAGGCTAGCCACTCCACCAACTTGAGCCACATCTCTGCTTCCAGCTTCTTTGGTAGTTAATTGGAGATAAGAGTCCCATGGACTTTCTTGAGTGGGCTGGCTTCAAACTACAATCCTTAGATCTCAGCTCCTGAATAGCTACGACTACAGGTTTAAGTCACTTGCACCTGGCTGAGAAGTATTTTTAAAAGAGGGAATGGGTGGCATGCATAAGAATGCATTTGGCACAGTGATGAGTATTCTTTTTCTTGCTATACTGCTGGGATTTGAACTTCCAAGGTCTAGTATTCACTAGGCAGGCAATCAACTATTGGAGCCAAGCTCCCATCCTATTTTTGCTTTAAGGTCTTTTGGGATACAGTTTCTTGTTTCTGCCTAAAGCTAACCACTATGATCCTCTTGCCTATGGTTTTCCCAGGTATTTGGGATTATAAATCCACACTGCTTTGCCAGATAGATTGGTTGAGATGAAATCTTACTACTAACTTTTTGCCCATGCTGGCCTTGGGCCACAATCTTCCCATCACTGCCTTCTAAATGCTGGGATTATAGGTATACACTACTAGATCTGGCTTACCTATTTCCCTGTGCTAATAGGAAAGACTAAAGATGTTTAGGGCCAGAAACTGAAGAGATACTGGATAAGATGGAAGGGAGTAGTCAAACATTATGCAATAACACACTAGGGCAAGAAAATGATTGTCACTGTCTCCCAAGAAACAAAAACAGCAGACTGGAAACAAAGTAGAAAATGGAGGAGCCTGGTACTGCAGGTGCCCCTGCCTGGTGACTACAGTGACTGGGCTAAGTGACAGTGACTGGTTAAAGAGCCACCATGAGGAACAGAAGCAACAACTCAGGACAGATGAAGGGCTGGCAGGCACAGCAGGCCATGTGACAGCAAGGGCCTATAATGTCACCAATTCTGGTGGCAGGAGCAGCTGAAATGTAAGCTAGTGTTAGGAAATAGTTGAGTGAGGGCAGCAGAAAGACAAACAGTCAAGAGGCTTGAGAGCATGGATGGGAGATAAGCTAAAGAGGTAGGTGTCATGTAAGATGTAACTTAGAAAGAAAGCAAAGCCCCAAAGAAATAGAAGTACAGGGACATGAAAGAGATACTGAGGCCTGTCAGGCATAAGAGCAGGGAGTACAAATACTAGAGTTAAACAATGGGAGGTTGGAGTGAGCTATCAGAGGAGTAAGGTGCAGCCAGAACACGGGGAACAGGGTTCATGGCAAAGGTCATTGAGTCAAGGATCAGTGAGGCCATGGAGCAGAAGCAGATCATCTATGCTTTCAACACTATCTACAAGAGGACTTGAAGCCAGAAAGGGAACACTGTTTGTATTAAGTTCTGTATGGATTTCTGTACATAGATGGAAGCATACTTCAGGTCATCCCATGAGCTTGTTTCCCACTACGTTACAAACTCCAGGCTACAGTCACATCTTTGTCTTCCCTGTATCCACAAACACACCTCACTTCTCTCCCTCCCCACCCATCACCACATGGCCTGACATGGCAGGCTTAAGGTAAAGTTTTCTGTCACTGTACTCCTCTAGATAGAAGTTTCTTAAAGGCAGCGTGTAAGCTCTCTTTTACTTCTTGCTGCTAGCACAGGATTCAGTAAATAACCAGTTGCTATTTTAAACTTCTGATTGACTCACCTGTCCTTTTTCTACTTTTATTCTTTCCAATTCAGCTTTTAGACTAGAGATGGAAGCTAAAGAAAAAGAGGACAAACAATAGCAAACATTTATTGTTCTGCATTAATATTTTTCCTTAAAATAACCCCAAAGGATTCTATATATAGAACATAGGGGAAGGGTCCTTTGTCAAAGTTATCTCCAATGAACCACTGTGATAATCAAGCTGAGGTAGGAATGAAGTACACACGAATGGACACATCAAAGATATGTATCTAAGTTGTCACACACCAATGCTATGAAAGGAAATGCTCCATCATGGTGACATGGGCTCTAGCACTGAACCGATGGTTAGTAACTGCCAGAGTTCTTAAAAGAACAAGGTGTTTTTGGTTTTTTGCTTCCACTTATTGGATATCAGAACATGTCTGTACTTATTGTTTGTTAAGACTTTTCTTGTTCTACCTCTATGATTATGTGTTAGTTCTTACAATCAGAAAAGTTACACTGACTCTAATGCTAAACCACCAGATCACTTTTATCTTCACCTATTTCCTCCTTGCAATTTTCTATTTCTAGCTGCAGAGTTTCTTCAAGGTTTTCTTTTAAACACTGTTCTGCTTGAATTTGCTCTTTTAGGAACAGTATTTCAGCCTTCAGCTTCTCTTCCATGTGGTCTGCTGCGGTCCGAACATGAATGATGTTCTCACGATATTTTAACACCAGTTCCCGGAGTACCTGGATTCAAGAAAAAGTTACTGGATTTGTGAGTGTGAAAGAAACTAGACTGTCCACAACCAGGACTTAATATGTCCTTTCATATGGGTCAAAAATGAAGACTTTTTTTTTTTTGCCAGTCCTGAGGCTTGAACTCAGGGCCTGAGCACTATCCCTGAGCTTATTTTTGCTCAAGATTTGCCCTCTACCACTTGAGTCACAGTGCCACTTCCGGCTTTTTCAGTTTATGCGGTGCTGAGGAATCGAACCCAGGGCTTCATGCATGTTAGGCAAGCACTCTACACTAAGCCACTTCCCAGCCTCCAAAATGAAGACTTTTCACTTTTCCTAAAGTAGTCTTCAAAGGAATATGCCATGCTATGTTAACCAGTGTGTTTCAGAAATAAGACATTTCCAGCCCAAACTGTAGGCTGTGAACTGTGTATTTTTTCCTCAAACTGTTGCATAAGCTGTAGAGTTATAACATCACCTACAATATGAGATTTGCTATGAACAACAGCTTACACAAAGACAAAATAAATAAACCTAAGAGCTAGTGTGACCTCCAAGAATATAAAAATGATCTGTTGGCTGGGAATGTGGCTTAGTGGTAGAATGCTTGTCTAGCATGCATGAACCCTGGGTTCAATTCCTCAGTATCACATAAACAGAAAAGGCCACAAGTGGCACTGTGGCTCAAGTGGCAGAGTGCAAATCTTTGAGTAAAAGAAGCTCAGGGACAGTGCCCAGGTCATGAGCTTAAGCCTTAAAAATAACTTTTTTTACATTTGGAAAGATTTAGAAATCTGTACAAACAATTATAAAGGCCAGGTTCACCCAACAAAAGAAGAATATAAGTGACTAAGAGTATCCATTACTACAGACAGAAAGATGGTATAAGCTTTTAATTCTAGACACACAAAAAAATATCAGAAACATACAGCTTGGTGACCTGTGTTTATTTTCCAGCAAGCTCTCAATCTGGCCCTGCACAGATGACTCACAGACCTTGAATCTGGAGAAACTCACTAGGACGGTTGAAGCCCACAAGTGAAGTGGCAGGAATTGACAAAGATACAGAAAGCTGAGCCTCACATACTTCTTCCTTACAGGAAGGTAAAGTAGTATTAAGCCAAGCTGTAGCAACAGCTTGATGGCTGCACATTTACCAGAACCCAAGGGAAATGGAAACATCAATACCAAATCCTACACATGGATGTTTATGGTAACATTATTCATAATATCCGCAAAGTATAAACAACCCAAATGTCTATCGGGTGAATAAACAAATATCCACACAATGAATTATTCAGGCAAGAGACTGGATGAAGTGCTGATACTTGCTACATGGACAATTGTTGAAAACACAAGCTGGATACCAGTGGCTCAGGTCTGTACTCCTAACTATTCAGGAGGCTGAGATCTGAGCATTATAGTTCAAAGCCAGCCCAGGCATGAAAGTCCCTGTGAGACTCTTATCTCCAGTTAACCACCAGAAAACTGGAAGTGGTGGCTCTAAATGGTTGAATGTTAGCCTTGAGCAAAAGAGATCAGGGACAGCACCCAGTTCAAGCCCTACAATTGACAAAAAAAAAAAAAAAAAAGCCCACACTAAGTTAACTAAAACCACAAACCAAGAGTCCATTCACATTAAAGTCTAGAACAGGAACATCTATAGAGAAGGTGGATCAATAGCTGGCCCAGGTTGAGAGTGATAAGGTTTGAGGTTAAGGTTTGAAGTGATAAAAATATTCTAAATTTGCCAGTGCTGCACATGGAGGCTGAAGCAGGAGGATCAAGACCAGCCTGGACTGTCTCAAAAATACAAGAATTGTGGTAGTAATTGAGCATATCTGAGACTATATTAAAATATACTTGATGTCACAGTTTGAAGGGCTGAATTGTTCTGGGTATGCAGGCCACACATTACCTCCACAGTGTCCGGGAGGATGAAGTCTTCTGCTTGTTGTAGTGACATATGCAAGCTATGCTTTCCTTGAAGGCTGTCGTTGTCCTTCTGTAACCTCATCAGCTCCTCTGAAACCTGTTCCCGTGACTGCATCAGCACAGCCTGGAATGGAAACAGATACCAACCACAGGCAAAAAGTCAATCAGGTCTGGTGGTAGCCATGCCAGAGAAACACAAGGCCAGCCCAAATGATGCTGTGCATATGGAGGGTCCATTATAAAGCTGTGAGCCTTGTTCAAAAGCAGCTCAGAACTTGTTTGATTCTCAGTATAGGAAACAAAGCAGCATGTTCATCTCCTATTACATGGACATTGCTCTAGCCCACCCAGAATCATCGTGAATGGCCAGCAGCCCTCATGCTGCAGGAGGATCTATGCTCAGTTCACACGGCACTTGATATGCTTATTCTTAAAATGCTCCTATTTCTTTTGTTTGCTTATATCTAAAATAATTTTAGCTAGTTCATATTTTCTCTTAATGTAAGTTATTTCAGTTAATTTGAGCTAAAATGTTGTAAAGTGATTTCTTTTTTTTTTTGGGGGGGTGCTCATCTTTGAGCTTGAAGTCAGGACCTGGATACTGTCCCTGAGCTTTTATGCTCAAGGCTAGGGCTCTACTACTTGAGTCACAGCTCCACTTCTGGCTTTTTTGGTGGTTAATCGGAGATATGAGTCTCACAAATTTTCCTGCCTGGACTGGCTTCTAATGTCAGATTTTACCCTCCTGAATAGCTAGGATTACAGTTGTAAGCCACCAGTGCCCAACAGATTTGTGCCTATTTGTAAGATATTTTCTTGTCTCAGTGACTCATACGTATAATCCAGTGACTCAGAAGGCAGAGATCAGGAGGATCTCAGTTCAAACCTTCCTCAAGTAAAAAGACTGGTCTTTAATGAGACACATTCTCAACAAACAAGCCAGGAATGGCTGTTCACAATTGTCACTGCAGCTATATGGAAGTCATGGATAGAAGGACTGTATTGTAAGGTGGCCTGGGCAAAAAGTCAAATTCTGGCCTAAATGATAGAACGCCTGCCTGGCAATCATGAAGCCCTAACAGTATTGCCAAAATCAAAAACAGAAAAAAACACGGGTAGTGAGCAATGAAAGAACAAAGTGGCACTTAATTAAGGGAGAAGCTATGAAGAGGGCTACAGAACATTTTTCGGGGGAGGTGAAGCTACATTCTAAAACACAAAATAAGTACAAAGTTTAGTTAGATTCCACTGCTGTCCCTTTTTTTGGGGGGGGAGGGGAGGTCCAGTCATGGGGCCTGAACTCTGGGCCTGGGCGCTGTCCTCACCCTCAGCTTTTCAGCTCAAGGCTAGTGCTCTACCACTTGAGCCACAGCGCCACTTCTGGCTTTTTTCTTTGTTTTGCTTATGTGGTGCTGAGGAATTGAACCCAGGGCCTCAGGCATGCAAGGCAAGCACTCTACCACTGAGTCACCTTCCCAGTCCCTGTCCTTTTTGTTTCAAGCTAGGGTCACCTGTGCTTTATGATCACTTTCAATTCTACAACAAAATATTAGTATCCATTACCTTTTGTATATGGAAAAAGGAAAAGAACATGTATGTAAATTTCTGCTTCTTCCTTTTTAGGGATGAGAGGGAGGTGCTTATTTTTATAAAAGGAAAAACAAAAAGGACAAGCCAAAACCAAATCCATTAATTATGCATGGAATGGAAATAGGGTACAAAAGACAGGTAGAAGAAGTGCAGTTTGAGTATTTATACCCTTAGTTTTTGATTTATAAATCAGACTGCATATTCAGAAAAGGTAATCAAAAGAGAAAAGTACAGCTGGGCGCCAGTAGCTCATACCTATAAGCTTAGCTACTCAGGAGGCCGAAATCTAAGGATCACAATTTGAAACCAGCCTGGGATGAAAGTCCATGGAACTCTTATTTCCAAGTAACTACCAAAAAATTGGAAGTAGAGCTGTTGCTCTATGGTAGAGTACTAGCCTTGAGCAAAAATGCTCAGGGATAGCTCACCAGCCAGATTTCAAACCCCAGACTGGCACCAAAAAAGAAAAGAAAACAACAACAAAAAGTGCAAATCTGTTATAACACAAAAACAAAAGTTGTTAACTATGTATCTAATTGGTAATATAAACAGAAGTTCAATTTTGGAATGATGGAATCACTGATCATTCTGGGGCCTTATGATATTATGACTTTCCCAGCAATTCATTTCATGTATATAGTACATGAAATGTAGTATTGCCAAAATGTCTGACCTAGGTTGAACCATGAGGAAACAAGCAAAAAAAAAAAAAAATTCTATAAGACAATTGACATAAAACATTCTTCAACGCAATTGGTCTGTACTATTAAAAAATGTTCAATTGAGGGGCTGGGAAGGTGGCTCAGTGGTAGAGCACTTGCCTTGCATTCATGAGGCCCTGGGTTTGATTCCTTGGCACCACATAAGCAAAAAGAAAAAAAGCCAGAAGTAGTGCTGTAGCTCAAGTGGTAGAGCACTAGCCTAGAGCTGAAGAGCTGAGGGACAGTGCCCAGGCCCAGAGTTCAGGCCCCAGGACTGGACCAAAAAAAAAGCTCAATCGTGTAGATATGGTGATAAATACCCATAACCCTAGGTCCTTAGAAGACAGGAGCAGGCTCATCATACCTGTAATCCCAGCTACTAAGGAGGCTGAGATCTAAGAACTGATTGAGGTTTCAAAGCAAGCCCTGACAGGAAAGTCCGTGAGACTCTTTATCTCCAAAAAACCACTCAGAAAATCGGAAGTGGCACAGTGGCTCAAGTGGTAGAGCGCTAGCTTTGAGCTGAAGAGCTGAGGGACAGCATTCAGGCTCAGAGTTTAAGCCCCATGACCGACAAAAAAAAAAAGACAGAAGCAGGAAGAACATAAGTTCAAAGAAAACGGTAGCAAGATTCTGTCTTAAAAACAAAAGGTGTGGCTTTAGTGGTTGAATATTTGCTCAGCAAAGCCCTGGGTTCAATCCCTATCCCCAGTACTTTAAAACGGCAGGGGGGGGGGAGGGGAGGGGAGGAAAGCTAGCACCAGTGGCTCATGCATGTAATCCTACCTACTCAAGAAACTGAGATCTGAGAAAACAATTTAAAACCAGCTGGGGTAGGAAAGTCTGTGAGATTCTTAGCTCCAATTAACCACTAGAAAAACAGAAATGTTTGGGGGGGGGGGAAGGAGTGTATAGACGTGGAGATGGGAGGGCAGGGATGGTAGGGGAAAAACAGAGGAGGAGGCAACAACGCTTGATAAGAAATGTACTTATTACCTTGCTCATGTAACTGTAACCCCTCTGTACAGTATTTTCACAATAAAAAATAAAATGAAAACCAGAAATAGCACTGTGGCTCTAAGTGGTAGAGCACTAGCCTTGAGTGAAAAAGCTCAGGGACAGCACCTAGGCTGAGTTTAAGCGTGTGTGCGCACGCGCGCGCACACACACACACATGCACGCACCCACGCATGCTGATGGAGCAATTAGGTGGTGATGTACACCTGTAATCAAAAATCACAGCCCCCAGGCCGAGTTCAAGCCTACACACACACACTGATGAAGCAATTAGGTGGTGATGTACACCTGTAATCAATCACAGCACCAGAGAAGCTGAAAGCAGGAGGATCAAAAAGTTCAATGCCAGCCTGTGCTACGCAGGAAAAGCCTCAAAACAACAACAAATGGTGCTATGTTCTAGAATAAAAGATATGACAACAAAATGCAATATGTGATCTCTGTTAGGCTTCTGGTTCAAAAAATATACATTATGGACTGGCTCAGTGGTAGCGTGCTTGCCTCGCATGCATAAGGCCCTAGGTTTGATTCCAATTAACCACCAGAAAACCAGAAGTGGCACTATAGCTCAAGTGGTAGAACGCTCTCCTTGAGCTGCAGAGCTGAGGGACAGCGCCCAGGCCCACAGTTCAAGCCCCACAACTGACAAAAAAAAAAAAGAAGAATGTGTATAGTACTTGTCTGCCCTAGATAGTCTATGTGCCCCAATGAATATAATTGTAACCACTTTGATCAGGGTGATAGTTATTTCAATGATTATTTCACCTGGAGTCACTGCTCAATGTCTGGGTTTTTGTGTTTTTTTGGCATTTTTTTTTTGGTCATGGGGCCTGAACTCTGGGCCTGGGCGCTGTCCCTCAGCTCTTCAGCTCAAGGCTAGCGCTCTACCACTTGAGCCACAGCACCACTTCTAGCTTTTTCTGCTTATGTGGTGCTTTAGGAATCGAACCCAGGGTCTCATGCATGCAAGGCAAGCGCTCTACCCTGAGCCACCTTCCCAGCCCTGCTCAATGTTATCACACCAGCCCAACTAGCTTAAGACCCTGAGTTCAAACTTCTGTATCACCAAAGGAAAAGAAAAGATTATATTTTAAAACAACAAAAAGTAATAGAGTGGGGGGAGGATGGGAAGGGATGGGAAACAAAGGAGGAGGCTACAATGCTTGATAAGGAATGTACTCATTATCTTGCCCATGTAATTGTAACCCCTCTGTACAGTATTTTCACAATAAAAAAAAGAATAGTTTAAATATAACAATACAATTTATATGTATTTAAATACATAAATATATGTAATTCAAATGTAAATACACCTTAAGTGTATTTAAAGGTAGACTCACCATCTGCTCCTGGGCATCTCTCTTTGCCTCAGAAAAGCCTTGTTGTAATTCTTCAAGTAAAACTTCGGATGCTTGGACTCTCAAGACAAGTGCAGAGATCTTAATAAAAATACACAGATGAAAGACAATTACCAAACTGATTATTCTGAAACCAGCCCTACCATCTCATTACTCTATGTCCACAAGTGGACAGTTGTAGCATACCGCTGTTTGGTCTCTATACAGATGAGAACCCATATAACCTAATAGTCATAAATATTTTTAAGGGGCTAAAAAAAAAATCAATAAAGTTAAAACTATATCTAGGGGGCTGGGAAGGTGGCTCCATGATAGAGCGTTTGCCTTGCATGCATGAGGCCCTGGGTTCGATTCCTTAGCACTACATAAGCAAAAAGAAAAAAACCGGAAGTGGCGCTGTGTCTCAAGTGGTAGAGCGCTAGCCTTGAGCTGAAGAGCTGAGGGACAGCGCCCAGGCCCAGAGTTCAGGCCCCACGACCAGACCCAAAAAACAAAAGAAACAAAAAAACAGAAAAAACAACAACAACAAAAACAACTATCTATACCAAAAACAAACAAACACACATTTCAAAAGATAAATGAATCTTATCCAAACTAGCTACAATCACCCAAGATGGCCTTATTAATTAATGTTAATTATGTATGATTAACACCACTGAACTCTAAATTCTTTTGAATTAATTTTAATGTTTTGGGGGGTTTTTTTTGGTCAGTCATGGGGCTTGAACTCTGGCCTGGCGCTGTTCCTCAGCTCTTCAGCTCAAAGCAAGCACTCTACCACTTGAGCCACAGCACCACTTCCAGTTTTCTGAGTGGTTTCTTGGAGATAAGAGTATCACTGACTTTCCTTGCCCTGGCTGGCTTTGAATTCTAGCTACTCAGGAGGCTGCACAAGAAGATTCAGTGTGATATATATATATATATATATATATATGTGATAGTATCTATATATAAAATACCTATATATAAAACTTCAATCATATTTACCCCATTCCTCTCTTATCTCCCCTTCTCCACTTTTAAAGCAATCTCTTACAGAATTCATTATTCTGTTTTCATACATGTGTATAAAGTACTTAGCCATATTTCTCTCTCCTCACCCATCTGTTTCTAAGAGGGAAACTGGGTGCTGTGAACCAATATACTAAGAATTAGGAAAGCTGAATAAAAAAAACAGTAACTATATCTACTTGAAGACATTGAAGAACAAAAAGGAACTGAAGAACAAAGGATGGGGCTGAGGACATGTGGAAAGCAGAGTGTAGCATGTGAAACACCTGTTCAGAAGTCCCTGCTACTTCAAAAGGAAACAGCTGGGACACAGGAGCTGCACAGGTATACTGAAGACTCCAGGGTGCACCATACAAAGGGACCCCTGCTGAACATCCAGTATGGTGGTTTGGATCCCCAAAGGGCCACACCCTTGAGGAAGGGAACAATTTAAAATAATCCAATCTTCACAAGTTCCTATAACTTGATTTTGTATATCACATCTCTCATAAAATGGCATCATCCCAGGTTTTATGTTATGGCAATCATTTTTATATAAAATATGCAGCACTGAAATTCAAAATAAAAAGAAATAAGACAATAGAAACAGGTCTACAGTGAATCCAATTGTCTTACTCAAAGATTTAAAGACAAAATTTGGATTGACAGAGAAATAGAAGTAATGAACACAAGCAAATGGCAAAAATACACTGAAAAAAAAATCAATTCCTTAGCTTGGCACTGGTGGCTTACCCCTGAGATCTCAGCTACTCAGGAGGCTGAGATATAAGAACTGACATTCAAAGCCAGCCTGGGCAGGAAAGTCCATGAGACTCTTATCTCCAATGAACCACTAAAAAAGCCAAAAGTAGAGCTGTGGCTCAAGTAGAGTGCTAAGACTTAAGGGGGGGAAGAAAAGCTCAGAAATAGCACACAAGCCTGAGTTCAAACTCCAAGACTGCACACATACACACACGCACCCACACAAAAAGTCAATGGAGGGGCTGGGAAGGTGGCTCAGTGGTAGAGCACTTGCCTTGCATGCAGGAGGCCCTGGGTTCAATTCCTCAGCAGCACATAAGCAAAAAAGAAAAAAGCCGGAAGTGGTTCTGTGGCTCAAGTGGTAGAGCACTAGCCTAGAGCTTAAGAGCTGAGGGACAGTGCCCAGGTGCTGAACGGACCCCCCCCCCAAAAAAAAAGTCAATGTATATGTTTATAAATAAGATGAATTTGAAAAAAAGTGAAAGAAAAAATTTGAAGAAAATGAAGATGAAATGACAAGAAATAAAGAAGTTAAAAGATAACATAGATGCAGGGGGGCCTAATGTATAAATATCTGAAGAAATACTGGCAATGAAAGTATCTACAGAGTTAAGATAAGCCTAAGCAGCAACCTTGTAATTCCACTCATTATTTCCAGAAGTACTTAAAAGAAATGAGCTCACATGTACACCAAAAGACAGGTGAAAAAATACTCCCAGAACCCATACAACAGCCAAAAGCTACACACAATTAAGTGTCTCAACTGTAGTTTATATAATAGTATGTTAATGTAAAAGAATATTCAAAACATTAAAAATAAATGCTAATATGGAGAATATAGATGAATTTCATGATCATAGAGACCAAATGCATGCTATAACGATTCCATGTTAAGAAAGTTCAAGAATAAGCTAAAATTAAAAGACAGTGTCTAGTCAGAACAGTGGCCACTTATGAGATGTAAGGTGTTTACTAGCCTGAAAGGACATGAATTGACAAAGGATCTGAATCTTTGCCTGGGAGACGATCAGCCTGGTAACATTTCTCACATGTCAAACTTACCAAACTTTACACAAGAGCTATGCATTTTACTATGTGCATATTTCAGTAAAATAAGACAGATTCGGGAGAGAAATCAAACCAGAATAAGATATTAATACAAGAGTTGGGTTTCCTGTGTTTGTTCTTTTCTTCTTTATTCTAAGATATGAAGCTGTAACAGTACAGGAGACAAAACTTTCTGCCCACACTGCCAAAAACAAGACTCCTAAGTGCCAAATATTATGGGATCCCTATTTCTGTATATGAGCCAGGACAAGCTGAGCTTAGCACACAAGGCCAGACCCAACACATGCTAAATAGCTTCAGTGATTCTCAAACACAAACGAAGCCCAATGCAACAAATCACTTATTAAACACACATCAAAGTGACTATAATTAACAAAATGAAGTTTTCAAGATCTTGGATTCTTCCCATACACTGCTGGTGGGAGTAATCACTTTAGAAAACTGCTGGGCATTACTATATTATTAAAGCTTAACTTACTAATTATTTCAAACATCTAGATGAACACTCTGACCTATGCATCCTATTCCTAGAAGAAACATGTTCATCACTCCTATAAGGAAATTTCCAAAGTAATATTTTTCCTAATATTCTAGTACTGGAAACAACTAAATCATACCTTAACATTAGCACAGATGAACTATGGTATATCCACAGAAAGGTACATCCACACAACAATCAAACAGTACTGAAAAAACATGCTAGAAGGCTCTTCTCAAATGTTAGTCTGTAGTGTTAGGACAGTGGTCAGTTGGGGAAGGAAGGGGCTGTGAGTGGTGAGGAAACTTGGCAACACTTGATCTCAGTGGTGGCTACACAGATGTTAGTTCTGGTATATGCTTGTTTTTTCCTATGTATTCGGTGCCTTAAAAAATTTAAAGGAGGCCAGATGCCAGTGGCTCATGCCTGTAATCCTAGCTACTCAGGAGGCTGAGATAAGATCACTGTTCAAAACCAGCTTGGGCAGGAAAGTCTGTGAAACTCATCTCCAATAAATCACCAGAATACTGGAATGGCACTGTGGCTCAAGGGGTAGAGCACTCGCCTTGAGCTGAAGGACAGCACCCAAGCCCAGATTTCAAGCCCCATAACCGAAAAAAAAAAAAAAAAAAAAAAAAGCATAAGCCACCAGCACTCATCTCAGAGAGAAAATTGCCAAATCTTCAGGTTAAAACATGACTATATTGTCTGAATTATTAAATCTAACTTAATCATCACTATGGGTCCTTCTTTGGGGGAGGGAGGGGGGTCAGTCATGGGGCCTGAACTTTGGGCCTGGGCGCTGTCCCTCAGCTCTTCAGCTCAAGGCTGGCACTCTACCACTTGAGCCACAGCACCACTTCCAGCTTTTTCTGCTTATGTAGTGCTGAGGAATCGAACCCAGGGCCTCATGCATACAAGGCAAGTACTCTACCACTGAACCACCTTCCTAGCCCCTGGGTCCCATTTTTAAACTGCCATTTATTTACCTGGTGACTTGAGTCCTCAGTGCTCTGTTTGATAAAGTCTTCTAGATCCTGTTTATCTTTTATTGTCTTCTCCAGCTGGTCATTAGCTTGCCTTAGCATCACCTGCAGTTTTTTCACCTATATAATTTTAAGAATCAGTTAGAAGGAAGCAGCAGGGGTATGTGTGTGTTAATGGGGATTAAACCTAAGGCCTCACACATGCTAAGCAAATGTACTGCTACTGAACATCCCCAGCCCAGAATTCCTTTTTTTTTTTTTTGGTCAGTCCTAGGGCCTGAACTCTGGGCCTGGGCCTCTTCAGTTCAAGGCTAGCACTCTACCACTCAGCCACCTTCCCAGCCCTCAGAATTCTTTTATAAATTAAAATATAAGAAACAAGAGCTAGACACCAGTAGCTCATGCCTGTAATCCTAGCTACTCAAGAGGCTGAGATCTGAGGATCATGGTTCAAAGTCAGCCCAAGCAGGAAAGTCCATGACTCTTCAATAAACTACAAAAAAAAAATTCCAGGAATGGAGCTGTGGCTCAAGTGGTAGAACACTAGCCTTGAGCAAAAGAAGCTCAGAGACAGTGCCCAGGCCCTGAGCTCAAGCCCTAGGACCAGCATGCACGCATGCATGCACGCACGCACGCACGCACGCACGCACGCACGCACGCACGCACACACACACACACACACATTCTCTCTTCCTCTCCCCTCTCTCTCTCAGAATTTTTTTTGGGGGGTTGGGGGGTCATGGGGCTTGACCTCTGGGCCTGGGCGCTGTCCTTCAGTTCTTTAGCTCAAGGCTAGCGCTCTACCACATGAGCCACAGTGCCACTTCCGGTTTTCTGGTGGTTAATTGGAAATAGGAATCTCAGAGTTTCATGCCCGGGCTGGCTTTGAACCATGATCCTCAGATCACAGCCTCCTGAGTAGCTAGGATTATAGGTGTGAGCCACCGGTGCCTGGCTAGAATTTAAAATCTTTTTTTCTGAGCAATATCCCAGACTTGTCCATTTAAAAAGAGAGAGAGAAAGAGAGAGAGAGAGAAACACCTCAAGAAACAACTGTGCTGGGCTTTATAGTTAGCAAATAATTTTTTCACATACATGATCTCATTTGAAAACTACTTCTCCACTGGTCCTCTAGTACAGGCCTCATATTTTATCCTCTCCTTCCAATCTACATCCCCATGAAGACCATACATTTTATAATAGGGAAATAAGTTTTCTACATAAAAGCCCAAACTGTCTCCAAAAGTCATCAAGGTTAAATGTAAACCCCTCCAATTATCACCCTCTTCAAGTAGCTCCTCCTGATCTTCCTTAGGGTTTCTGCTCCCATTATTGTTTAATTCAGCATGCCCAGTCATATGAACTTTCTAACCATCTCACTTTCTTTCTTAACTTTGGAGGAACTCATGCCAATGACATTAGAAATTGCTGCACTGTCATTCTACTCAGCCTAAAGTTCTTCTGAAGACCAAGGCAATAATCTTCACAGCAATCAAAGCACAATTAGCAAGTTGAATGGAAAAGTTTACCTTTTCCTTGTATGTGCTTTCACAAGTGTACTCTTGTGAAATTCTACATCATTTACTAAACGTCATCAATGTACCAAATTATTGAACACTATATTTGGCAAAGTACTTAAGACTTGTCAACCTTAACATAACAAATGTACCAAAGAAAGTATTCTGTGATCCTTCAAGTAAACATTAATCAATCCAACAAATTTATGACAAAAAGCAATAAAAATTCCACATTCTGATTAGTATGACATTCAATTAAGTTTGTATCCTAGGGGCTGGGAAGGTGGCTCAGTGGTAGAGCCTTGCGTGCATGAGGCCCTGGGTTCAATTCCTCAGCACCACATAAGCAAAAAGAAAAAAGCCGGAAATGGCACTGTGGCTCAAATGGCAAAGCGCTAGCCTTGAGCTGAAGAGCTGAGGGACAGTGCCCAGGCCCAGAGTTCAGGCCCCACCACTGGACCCAAAAAAAAAAATTTGTATCCTATTGGAGACAACAATCTTTTATCTCCCTAGTCTCTAGATCATAAAGGATTCCCTGTGTAGAGAGCAGGCCGACTTCATGCTTAGGCACTGAGTAGAAGAGGAAGGAGAGGAGATGAGGCAGTGTTCCTCTAAGAGCTGAGCTGACCTGTATGGTATTGGAACATTAAGGAAGTAGAGGAACACAAAGGACTCCCACTGGAAATTTAGTGCTATTCTCTGTGACAGATTATTTCACAATGTAACAAGGTAAATACTTCATAAAGCAAAAGGGAGAAAGACAATTCTGTACCTCTAATGAAAACTGCAACAGCTCACTAATTTGGCATATCCAAATAAAACTCACCTGGTCTCTTGTTTCAGCTTCCTGAATTTGAATTCCTTGTAACTGTTTTTCATAATTGGAACACATATCACAACGTCTACCAAGTTTATTTCCAGCATTATGTACCTGAAGGGCACCAAAATTACCTCTTATCAGGCGGAACAAAATAATGCTATATAACATACTTGACAAACACATGCAATCTTATTTAAAGCACAGTATCAAGTGAGCAATGTCTCCAGGAACTTAGAAGAAGTCAAAATAACAATCAGATTCTAAAAAGTCATCTCTAGTACAAGAAGCAGGGACACAACTTACCACCAACACGTCTGAGGAAAATACAAAGCAAGAAAATCAATACTATTCAATCAACAGGAAAGGAATACAAGAAACATATCCCAAGTCCCCATTTCACTAGCTCCAATGACACAATAAGTATGAAACTATTAAATAGCACCTTCTGAGAGAAATTTTATATGAAACCAAAGAGAATAGTTTCCTTCAGGCTTAAAAGGCTGTGTCCCATTCATTGACCAAGTGCTTCTTTCAAGAGAAGGATCCCAGAGTGAGGGAAAACTTAGGTGCTAAAGCAGGCCTTAGAGGAACATTTGAACAATGCTTAATCTTTCTGAGCCAATTTCCTCACTGGTAAACTGCAGACAATCATGCCCTGGTTGCCTAATTATGGTCATAAAACTTGAAGAGATGAGGTATGTGAAAGGGCTTTGTAATCTGTAAAGCATTATGCAAACACTTCTTTGAATTCTTATCTCCTAATCTTTTAAGCTTGCAAATACTCTTACCCTCATTAAAGGTTGCCTCTTTTCCCTCCCCATTTTCCATCCTCTCCTTAAACTCACTCTGTATCAACTGCTCATAAGCATTTGCATTTCAGAACTAAAGGAAAGATGAATGAGTATGAATCCTGGAATATACTAAAATTTTAGAAAACTATAAAACAAACCAAATTTGGTCTGCTCTAATTTAGCAATGTTCTTCAGGCAGTTGCTCCAACTTCAGCATGACCTCAGGTGGAGAAGTTCACACTTAACACCATTAGCTAGCTAGCTGCCATCTCTACCAGAATCACATGAAGAACCAAAGCAGGCCACAAGGGGGTAGATGATTTGTGTTCTTACTTGCTGGCAACACATGCCAGCATGGCCTCCACTAACAACCAAATGAACAATGAATCTCAGAGCTACCTAGGGTCACTCAGAGTAACCAAGAGAAACAACTGAACAATTTTATGACAAGAAATAAGCAATAGAAATCCAATAAAATCACTCACCTCTTTTTGCAGAAGATTCCATTCTGTCTCACTGACTAAGCGGTAACCACTGGGAGATACATATGCACTCTCCATACCCTGGGTGACGCTGGAGAGGAGGGATGCCGTCTCCTCTTGTTCTGGTGTCATTGCCTTGATTGCTCTTTCCTGATCTTTGGTTAACATAAACCCACTTGGCATCTGTAATGATCCGAGGGATGCAGTATCAAAGTTCTCAGACACTGAATCTGCTCCCACCAGGGGTCCAAAATCGGATTCATCCAGGTTTCCAGCTGATTTTGCTTTATAGTTATAGCCTAAAGCTTTGGACTGCAATGAGCCTGAGGTTCCCAAACTGTCTGTAGACTGTGCTCTCCTGAGTCCATCTTTAAACATGTCATTGTCCGATTTACTGAATGGATCTCCAGATGGTAAAAGTAAGTCCGCATCTAAGGAATGGACTGACCCATGGGTGCTGTCTAAATGCTCCTGAAATTTGAAAATAGATATATTTCTAAGTTAGATTATAACACTATCTTGAAAGATAAAAACTACCATATAGAAGAAGTATTTTGTCATACATTACACATGATGATCACTAATATGCTGTCTTCTTATAATCATGACCAAACATTTATTGTCTTCTCTATAGGGGAGTGGGGAGCACTAATTCAGGCACACAGAATACAAACATGAGCAAGATTATAGTTTCATAAAAAGATAGGTAAATAGGGGCTGAGAACGTGGCTCAGTGGTAGAGCGCTTGCCTTGCATGCTCAAGGCCCTGGGTTCAATTCCTCAGCACCACATAAGCAAAAAGAAAA